GCCTGGGCCCTGCTGCGACCCACTGGTCACAGTGGGTCTGATGGTTTATAACTTCCCGGGGACACTCCACCTGTGACCTTCACGCATGAATCTGCTGGGCTCCTTGTAGTGGACTGTATCCCAGAGGTGCCATGGCATGCACAGTGGCGTGGTCCCATGGGGTCGGGGCCTCAAGCACCTGCCAACGCCAGGTGGCAGGTGCTGATGGTCACTTAGACTTTTCCTCAGGGAGATGTGCTTATCATGTCCTGCATGTACAACACAGAAAACCAGGAGCTGGCCACAGTGGTAAGTCACTCCTGCTTCCCCTTGCACCTGCCCAGGGAGAGTGTTGAGTCTGGGCCACCTGAGGAAGGACAGGTCTTGACTCCTTACCTAGGGCATGGGCTGCCGGAGGTCAAGGCCGTCCTCCTCATCTTTTCAATAAGCCAGCCATTCTCAGCGCCTGCTCCCTGAACCCGCAGTGGCGGCATCATCGGGGAGCCTGGGATAAATGCAACCTCCTGGGTGCCACCCCAGGCCCACTGAGTCAGAGACATGGGTGGTGGCACTGGGCATTCCATATTTTAACAAGCTCCCAGTTGATGTTGACGCCTGCTTAAGGTTGAGAACCACTGACACCAAGAAGCGTTTCTCAGTACCCAGGGCTGGTGTGGGGAGAAGCTGTAGAACAAGATGTTGACCTTCGCTCCGTGGAGCTCAAGGTGCACCAGGGAGACAGGCCTGGAGCACCTGCTGCTGAGGACAAGCAAAGTTAAAAAAAAAAAAAAAAGTTAAAACCAAGTTGAGGAGCCAGAGGTGCAGGGACCTGGGATGTGGCCGTCACATGGAGCCCAGGGGAGAGGGGAGGAGAGGGAGGAAGGCTCCATGCAGGGGCTATGTGTGGGAAGACCCAGAGGTCCAAGAACATTCTCAGGATGGAAAGGATGTGGGTCGGGGTCAGGCGGGGTGAGCCTCAGCTGAGGATGCATTCTGGCTGTACTGCAGACAGTCCAGGGAGAATCCACACTGGGGGATCTGTTTTGAAGGCTGGGTATGCAGGCAGCACCAGGACACAGGCAACCACGTGACTCATCACGCAGCAAGGCTGCTTCCAGGAGCCAAAGGGGATGCCGTTACACGATTACCTGGGTCCCAGCACAAGCCAGGGCTGTCCTGGCACATGGGCTGCCCTGCCAGTGGATCCATGCCAGCTGCCTTGGTATCCATGGTGGTCTCCAATACTTGTTGTGTGAATGGTGTGGCTCAGAGTGGAGCAGACCTGGCTGCACCTCCCCGGACACCCCTCAGCGCCAGGAACTCAGGTCCACGTCACAACCCTATGCTTTGTGTTTTAATCCAATGTGGACTCACCTGATGTTTACTGAGCCCCAACTGCCAGTATTATTTATGTTTATTTTCTTTTTTTTTCTTGAGATAGAGTCTTGCTCTGTCACCCAGGCTGGAGTGCAGTGGCACGATCTCAGCTCGCTGCAACCTCCACCTCCCAGGTTCAAACGATTATCCTGCCTCTGCCTCCGAAGTAGCTGGCATTACAGGCGCCCGCCACCACACCCAGCTAATTTTCGTATTTTTAGTAGAGAGGGGGTTTCACCATGTTGGCCAGACTGGCCTCGAACTCATGACCTCAAGTAATTTGCTTGCCTCGGCCTCCTAATGGGCTGTAATCCCTCATACTGGGATTACAAGCATGAGCCATGGCACCCAGCCAGTGTTTGTATTTTCACAGACATAAAGGCTCAGAGAGGGCAGGCACTTGACGAAGGTCATACAGCTGACAGATGGCTGAGCTGAGATTTGACCTAGGGCCGTGTGCCTCACAGCTCTTGCCACACCCTTCTGTCTCCCTTGGATTTCAGGTGACAATTGTCCTGAGTCCTTGATCACAAACTCAGGGTGGGTGGCAGGAGAGCTTTGCCAGTCATTTACTTTCTCTAGAGGAGGTCCTTAGTATGTCACCGCAGTGGCTGATGTCAGGTGCTTGTCACGGCTCAGCACTGCTCTAATAACTCATCCTAACCACACCAAGCCTTGCTGAGACCTCTGAGCAGATCCCACCAGGAGACACAATGAGGTCCAGCCACTCAGACCACACAGCGAACAGGAGGCAGGGCTGGTATAGGGGCAGGTGCCAGCCCTAACTGTGCAGCCTCTTGGCTAAGCACCTGTGCAGTGACGTGAGTGAGTTCACAGAGACAGGGCTCTGCAGGTGGAGCACCCTAGGCAGGGCCCCAACACCAGCCCCACTCTGCAGGCACAGCCCCGGGGCCAGGGATGGGGAGGGTCTTGCCGGGCATCCAGCAAGGAGACTGCATATTCCCTGCCCAACCTGGCTTCACAGCGGCAGAATTGATGCCACGTCCCGGGGTGTTCAGGGCTGCCAGGCCTGGTGAGCACCACTGACATCTCAGATGCCCGTTCTTCAGGTTGAGGCTCTTAGTGCCAGTGTCCCAGTGGGCAGTTCAGTGGCTTCCCCAGCCCATGGCCTCCTCTTGGTGGTGGCGACATCACAGCACCAGGTGGGATCAAAGGGGAGGGCAGCTTCCCAGGTGGATCTGAGCTTCTCAGGCTCTGACAACCCACTCACCTGCTGATCCAAGAGATAGCAGCCTTTGAAATTTGATATCCTTCCCCAGGAGAAAGAGGAGAACAGATCCAGATCCTGCACAGGATCAAACAGTTCCCTTTTGATGTCTGCAGCGGCAGAGGGTGCAGAGGGACGGGAACTCACACAGGAGGGCTATCGTCCCGATCTGATGCCCGCAGGATGGATGAGAAAAGCTGGTAAAGGAGGAATCCAGCCCAGAGAACAACACCGGCAAAAATCTGTCCCAACCAACAGGTGCCAGGTTTGGTCTCTGGGCAGAACTACCCCATGCTCTTTGTCTACACAGGAGGAGGGAGCGGCAACTGGTGTAAGCGCCACGCCGAGCTTTTCCCAGTCCTTTTGTTCTCCCCTAGAGTAGAGATTGCCTTTCTTCCCTACCAGCCAGATGAAATCCCCAGGCCCACAGAGCTTCACAGAGAGCGGGGAGCCTGGAGGAGTAAGGGTGACAGGGTGTAATGTCCTGACCCTGCCCTGATGGGGTCCGAGCTGCTGCCAGGGGAGTTTTGCTCTCTCTCCAGCTCTGTTCCTTCCAAGCTGTTGGTGTTCTTTCTCCCTCTGGCTGAGGCTGCACGGTCACCAGCTCCAAGAGCAGCAACCCAGTCAGGGGCTTAAAGCTGGCAGTGGGGACTCAGAGGGTGCCTGCCCTGCCCCTCCCATGTGAATGCAGGCTGTAGGGTTGCCCTGGGAGACTGGAGGTTGTCACGGCCTTCTAAATCACGGTCCTGTCTTCTAGAGTCCCTGCTCCCCTCAGAGCCACCTTCGAGAAATGGCTGGTGGATGGTGCGGGGCTGCAGTGGAAAGAGCCTCCTTGCAGTCCTTGGCTCTAGGCTCTCGCTGGAGGTCAAGGGAACAACTTCCAGACAATGGCCGGGAGGCTGGGTCCACTCAGGCTGTGCCACTGATGCTGTGGCCACCACCGGGAGTCCCCTTGCCTGCTCTGAGACTAGTTTCTGTAGCCATAAAATAGGCACGGTAACACCCCATCCGCTTGTCCTGTTTCGTTTTTCTTCACAGCATCATCAGTACCTGATAGGAATGACCTGGTTAACTCGCTCGCTGCCTGTCTCTCCTGCCAACGATGGCAATTCTGTGAGGTCAGGGACTTTGTTCCCCAGAGCATGCCTGGCATGGTGCAGTGAACAGACCAATGGGCGCAGTGAACACGTGGATGTGGCGAAAGCTGCTGGACGGCAGTGTCTGCGTGGCACGACCCGGGACTGACGGGTCTTCTCCAACTTGCAGGGCGGCTTTGGGATCCTGGAGATGTGTGTCAGCTCCGTGCACTACTACCCCCAGACGCAGCTGGAGCTCTACAAGATCGCTGTGGACGCCGGCTTCCTGCGGAAGTACTTCCACCCCATCAACGAGTGAGGGCTCCCTGTACAAGCTCCCTGCCTGCAGGGAGCCCGGACACAGAACCTCTGGGCCTGTTGGATGGCTGGGCAGATTGGAGGAGTCCAGGCTAAGATCTAAGAGCAGAGACCTGTGGTGGCATCAGTCACCCCTCACTTATTTTCTGCTGAGTCTGGATTTGGCTTGAGAGACTTCTCAACCCAGCCCCAAGCAGCCGCTACCCACCGGCCAAAATGGGTAGGAGAGGTGAAGCCATTGCTGGTGAAGGCAGCATCTGGGGTGGCCTGACAGAGGCAGCGTGGCTGGGGAGGAGGTAGGAGGGTCGCCCCCAGGGACAGGACCTGAGCTACAGGGAGGATTTGCCAGTGCCCACTGGGCCCCCTCCCCATCGGTCGCTCCTCAGTTCGGCTGTTCCTTGTCCTCGCCAGGTTCAACTGTGAGGACATCTGTACCTGTCCTCAGGCGTCCATGTCTCAGCAGTTTGACTCTGTTCCCTGGAACTCCTTCAACCACGACATGCTGTATGACTTCATGTCCATCTCCGTGCACTGCAACAAGTCCTTGGCCATCTGCTTCCAGGTGTGCTGCCATGGGCGTGGGTGGGGCACACAGTCAGGCATGCCTCATGGGGGGCCCCAGTGTGGGGTGATGGGACTGCACTCCAAACTGCTGACAAAAGCACTCACATGAGACAATTGGAGCAAGTGCCAGGTAGTGACAAGCCTAGACACACAGCTAGCGCTGGCAGGTGGAGGGAGGGAGTGGGAGAGAGAAGGGAGAGGGAGAGAGAGAGAGAGAGAGAGAGAAAGAAAGAGAGAAACATTAACAAGGCCAGGAAGGGAGGGCAGACACCCTCTCCGGGTGACACCTCCACACCAGTGCCAAATGCCAAATGCCAGTGGTGTAAGCAGGGCGCTCCAACCTCCCACAATGATAAAGTGCCCATGTTCTGGCCGGGTCCAGGGTCCTGGGATCCAGAGTCATTTGGAACCTGTGGGAATGGACGGACAGCATGGCATGGGGCATGGGTTCCGGGCCTTCAGTAGATTCCCTTCACCCTCTTGTCGGGGTGGAAGGGAGACTTCAGGTGAGCCTGGGCAGCATAGGTCACCCTCATTATCTCCAGGGCATAGTCCCTGCTTTTCACAAAGTCCAGCGAGACCTAGGAGCAGAGGTGGGGATGAGGGTCGCTCGCTGTTGGTTGGGTGCAGGGCTCACGCCTGCCTGCTTCTCTGGAGGAGGGTGACTTCCCCAGACCCGGGCAGGCACAGTGGCTGGAGCAGCGCCAAGGCTGGTGGCCAGTCGGGCTCGAATCCCTGGGGCAGGGGCGGTTGGATTAGCCTTCTAGAGAGCTTGGCCTCTGCATGCTCCCCATCCCACACCCTGGCTTGGCCTTCCCAGCAAGCCCTTGGGAGCCAGTCAGCCCCAGGTGCAGGTGTTCTTAGGCAGGAAGAGGGCGTCACGTCCAGCCTGGCACAGCTGGTGACGCTGGGCACTTTTGCCGTGGCTGCTCTGAGGAGGGCAGGCCGGGCCACTCAGGGAAGCTGTTCTCCCTGTACAGCGATTAAACCCAAGGCCAGGGCCACAGGAGGGAGTCTCCAGCTCTGCTCTGGGAGTCAGAGAGCTCCTTCTTGTTCCTGGCAGCTAAGGACTGGATGAAAAAATGAAAAAAAACCAAGCATTTTCTGTGACAGGAGCTTTAGGAGTGGCACTTCTGAGCCATGTGTGCACCTGCAGGGCTGAGAGCTCTGAGTTGCCCCCCACAGGCAGGCAGCATGGGCAGCTGGTGGCCTTCAGATGTCCGCAGGGAGGCACAAGTCAAAGCAGGCACCTGGCCTTGCTAACAAACACCCACGAGTCTGAAACTCCTTCCCTGCCTCCAAGCCTTTCCCATCAATGAGCAGGTTTCCCTATCTTAGGAAGAAACCTCTGTTACCCCGCTTGGGCACTTGAAAATATTTAACAGCCAGCTCTGGGGTGGGGCGGGTGTGACTGTCGTGTTTGACCGTTGCCATGGTGCAAATGCTCTGGACAGCCCTGATGGAGGGGGCAGGAGACATGCACCGGCTCTGGCCACATTGACTGGTCCCCGGCTGCCCGTCTGGATGCCGTTTAACCTCGGCTTCCCTGGTCACATTGGTTATAGACCCATCCCTGGTTCCGGAGAAAGGCGAGCGTTACTGTTCTTTGAAGAAAGGGCAATGGAACCTCTACTCCCCAGCCCACGCTGGTGTGGAGCCCATAAACTCAGATTTGGCTGGGCCCCAGGGCGGTGACCCCTAGGACCATGGCCCCAGGGCCGTGTCAGGAGGCCCTGCCCACTGTGGGAGCCACGCCATCACAATCCCTGCTTATTAAGACCCCACTCTGGGCAGTTGCTTGTATGACAGCCCTGTATGGTAGGTGGGTGTCTGTCCACATTTTATAAATGAGGAAACCGAGGCTCCAAGAAAGGATCCTTGTCCAAGGTCACAAAGCAGGTAAAAGGGAGATCCCAAAGGCTGGTGGCATCAACTGTGTCCTGAGCCTCCCAGCTCCACCGCCAGACTCGGCTCCATGGGCTGCCACTTCCCTATGGCTCCACAGGACCATGGCCTTGCCAGAGGCCTGGTGGTGTCACCTCCCCCTTGGGCCTGCAAACTGGGCTTGCACATGGCCTGCAGCTCTTGCTGAGGCTGCTGTGTCTCCAGCCTACCCCTCCTCATGGCATCTCCCAAGCGCTCCCTCCCTCCCTGATTCCCTCTATGTGTCCAGCAGGGGCTCAGGCTGGAAGGCTCTGGAGCCAGGCCAGCACCTCCCAGCCTCACTTAGGGCTTGGACCAAATATCAGATCGCTCCCATGGAGAGACGTGACCCTTCTCACTGGCACCTCTACTTCCAAGGGCCAGAAAGATGGGAAGAGAAGGTGGAGGTAGAGAGCACCCCTTCCCCTTCTGGGGAGGCTGCCCATCCCCTGCCCCACCACACCTGGCCTCCCAGGGCTGTCCTGGGACTTGCTCCTGGGGGCAGTGCCTGTTCTTTCCAGCCTGCTCCTGCCTCCTGCGGCCAGGGGCCAGGGTCATCTGGTGGGTGTGGGGTTGCCTGGGGTCAGGGGTGTGTGGGGTGAGGAAAGAGAGGATAGGAGCATGAGTCTCTGAATCAGTGTCTGGTCGGTCACCCTGGGGGCTCCCTGCACCCCAGGCAAAGGGTAGGCCATGGATGGCTCAAGGTTTGGGTCTCTCGTGTCAGGAGCCAGAAAGTATCATCCTGGCTGGCTCGCACCTCCTTCTAACAGAAAAAAAGTCTGGAAGCACCGAAGTCAGATTCTTCCACAAAGAAAACAAAGAGCAGCTTTGGCTCTGCCCAGGCACAGCTGGGGAGTCCTCCACCTGCTGGGGCGTCTTCCTCCCCCTTCTCCTTCCTCCTCCCTCTCCCTCCTTCTCTCCCCTTTTACCTTCCTCCTCTTTCTCCTTCCTTCCTCTGCCTCTTCCCTCCTCCCTCTTTCTTCCTCCCCTCCGACTTCCCTCCTTTCTCCTCCCTCTGGACCCCTCCTCCTCTGGACCCCACCCAGGCCTCCTGCCTGTGCCCAGCACTGTCAGGGCACGGTGCAGGGTGCTGGTTTGGAGCTAAGGAGGGATCAACATTCACCTCAGCAGGGAAAGAGAAGGGGACTCACTGGCCCGCCGCTGGGGTCACAGATATAACCGTAGGCAATGGTCTTAATGGCGAACCAAAAGTCGACCCTCAGGACATGGCCCACCACTTGGCCGTTCCTGCAGATGGCCTCCAGGCTGAACATGGATACTTTGCTGGAAGAAGCCATAGAGAAAGGTGGGTCCCCAGAAACCACAGGGTGGGAACACATCCACAGTGACCTGGAGGAGAATGGGGGGCTACATGGTGCCCACCTGACCATGACTTCATGCAGAGAGGGCTGGCCTACTAGGACCTTGCTGGTCCCCAGAGTCAGCTCAGCACCTGGCCTGGACACCAGGGCTCAGGCTTCATGTGAGTAAAAGGGATAATAATTCGGCTGTTTCCAGAAGCAAGTCCTGTATATTTGGAAGAAGCCCTGCTTCTGCTTCCGATTTCCTTCCACTGGACTGCTGAATGGTTCAAATGTGAAACGTGATTGTGGCTCATTCTACCCTGGTTCTTTTTCTTTCTTTCTTTCTTTTTTTTTTTTTCCTGGAGCAGTGGTGAGACCTAGACTCACTGCAACTTCCATCTCCCACGTTCAAGCGATTCTCCTGCCTCAGCCTCTGGAGTAGCTGGGATTACAGGCACCCACCACCATGCCCAGCTAATTTTTGTATTTTTAGTAGAGACGGGGTTTCATCATATTGGCCAGGCTGGTCTCGAACTCCTGGCCTCAAGTGATCTGCCTGCTTGGGCCTCCCAAAGTGCTGGGATTACAGGCGTGAGCCACCGTACCTGGCCAGGTTCATTTTTTTTCACAGTAGAATGCATACTTTATTCAAAGGAGTTTACTACATGTAATATATGAGTGCTCACTGTAAACTTTTTAAAAATTAAAAGCAGGAAGACAAACAAAGTAAGCTAAAATCACAGAAAGGCCAGCACCCAGGGCTAACAAGTGCTAACACTTTGCTGCCAGGCTGCAGACTTCTCCCTGTCTGATGGGTTATTGCAGCTGCAGCTATGCAAAGCGGCCCCTGAATGAAAGGACTGGGGTGAGGATGAGGGCGCCTTCTGCATCCGCAGCTCGGAGTCACTGTTTGGGTCCCACCTGTCCATCTGATTAGGGCGAGGCTGGAAGGTGGTTTTGTAAACATCTTTGGTTTTGCCCTAGTTCTTATTCTTCACGTGAGGACACTGAGGCCCCAGCTGCTCAGAGTCCCAGAGCAGTGTGGCAGGGCCATTCTCTGTGACTCCACTGCCAGCATCTTCTCTGGGTCTGTCCTGGAACTGTGACAGCCTGGAGCCACGGTGCAGGGCAGCTATTATACAGCCTGACAGAAAACCCCTGAGCAGAGTGCACTGGGTCACAGGGGCTGTCCGAGGCCCTCCTAGACCCAGACATCAGGCTGCAGGTGCTTCAAAGGACCCATGGACGCTGCCCTGTGTGCAAGGGGTCCCCACTCCTGGAGCTGCGCTGATCCCGGGAGCTGGATAGGCTGTCACGTGAGAGGCAGAGCCCGACAGGCACCCAGTGAGAAGTCGCAGGATGATAACAGCACGGCTTTGCTCATCCCTCTACTCCTTCATCCTCCCTCTCCCCTCATCCTCCCTCTCCCCTCCTCCCTCTCTCTCATCCTCCCTCTTCCTCCCCTCCTCATTCTGACACTCCTTTTGAAGGCTCTAGAAATCTGGGAGAAGTGGTGGTGTTTGCAGCTGGCTGTCAGCTCCATGTCCACAGAGCCCAAAGCCAGCCCTTTCCCCGGAGACCTGTGCCTTGGATCCCTGCCAGGGCCACGGGAGGGTCTCTGAGCAGGGCCTGTTCTTCTCAGACCGCCCTGAACCCAAGTGGGACTCGGGTTCCTGGAATCCAAACTCTCCCAGGAGCCCAGGGAGCACGTGTGCCAGGCTCCTAGCAGCGTGCTCAAAGCCACTCAATGGGGAGAGCAGGGGGTCAGGTCGCCCCCAGGCACAGTCTCTCTTTCCACCTCTGCTGTGTGACTGGGCATGAGTCCCCCGTTCCTTGGCACTGTGTGGTCTCCATTTGTAAGTGGGGATGGTGGCCACAGCCGAGCCCGTCTACCCTCATCACAGGGCTGTGTAGAGGACTGAACTGGAACAGGATGGGAGGCCGTGTTGCAGTGACTGGGAGGCCAGGCTCCCTGGGTTCACCCTCCGAAGGCCCTCGGCCTAGACCCGCCACAGAGGGGTGGCCTGGGCTTGGCTGCACCTTTCTCTTTCGCGACCTGCATTCGAAGAGCATGGAGCCTTCCATATGTCCCCACGGGCCCTGCTGGCCTGGGAAGGGCCCCATGTGTGCAACCTTACACTGGCCTGGTTTGAATCCCAGCACTTTGGGATCCTCACACCTGTAATCCCAGAACTTTGGGAGGCTGAGGCAGGCACATCACGAGGTCAGGAGAGTTCGAGACCAGCCCGGCCAACATGGTGAAACCCCATCTCTACTAAAAATACAAAAATTAGCTGAGTGTGGTGGCGCATGCCTGTAATCCCAGCTACGCGGGAGGTTGAGACAGGAGAATCACTGGAACCTGGGAGGTGGAGATTGCAGTGAGCTGAGATCACGCCATTGCACTCCAGCCTGGGCAATAGAATGAGACTTTTTTTTTTTTTTTTTTTGAGACAAACTCTGCCTTTCTGCCTTTAATAGCATGTGACCTGGCCAGATGGCCTCTCTCTTTGGCCTCGATTTCCTTATCTGCAGTGGGCTTTTGGGTGCATTCTGGAAGAGTGTGACTGGCACATAGGAAGTGTCGGTACTAGGGTCTTCGACTGGGGGATGGAGAAGTGCCTGCCTGACCTGGCTGTAAGCAGTTGCTTCTAGGTGGGGGTAGGGCAGCAGGATACTCACTCCTCCACGGTGAAGCACAGCAGGTGCCAGTGGAGGCCTGTGGCCCGGTGCTGCTCCAGGGCCTCCCACCCCAGGAAGGGCACGGGCTACTTGAGCTTGCAGGTGAAGGCCAGGCCTGCCTCCAGGGGGCTGTTGTCTGGCTGCAGGTCCGCATGACAGTGCCGGTAGCCTGTGGGAAGGGAAACCAGGGGGTCAGTGCCACCTTGAGGGGGATACCCCTTCAGGTGATTCATGAGGATGGTGCCTAAACCCACCCCCTACAGCCTCTACCCACACCCTCAGAGCTGTTTAGTAACTTGGGCAACCCCGATGCCCAACTCCAGAAGGTTTCCTGGGGACAGCTCCCCAAGCACACTGTCCATCAGCACTGCAGCCCTCTGCACCCTCAGGTGGGGATGTCAGGGAAGGACTCGTGAAAGAGGAGCTGCCCAATGCCCAAGCGGGGTGCCTAACACCTGGGAGAGCTGCCCAGCGCCCAAGCTGGGCGCCCAGGGGCGCCATCCAATGCCCTTTCTGATCTCCATCTTTGCTCTGGACAGGGGTCTGGGGCTTCTTCCAGAGGCTGTGCCGCCTGCTTCCCGGCTCCATTCTTCACAGCTCTCAGAGGAACCAAGGCCTCAATTCCAACCCAGCCTGGGCCTGCGCCCCAGGTGCAGGCTGCGCCTCAGCTCTCTGAGTCCAGGTGTGTGCAGGGGTTGCTGATCCCAGCACTGTCCCTGGGGCCCTGCACAAAGACCCTGGGCAGCAAAAGGGTTTGGGGAAATGGAGGATGTCAGGCGCTGGGATGTAGGGGAGGAAATCATGGTGTGGAAAGAAGGAATCCGGGTGACAACACAGGGAAGGTAAACAGCTTGGCCTCCACGTGTCTGGAG